CCTCTGCTGGGGAAAGGATGCCCACTATGAAACTGCTTTGCTTTCCATCACTGAGACTTACTTTGTAGCAGAGAGAAGCAGAAATGTTGTGTGCCCAATGCTGCTCTGAGGACTTGGCCACTCCACCTGGACCTGGGAGCAGGACCTGTCTCCCAGGGGTCTCCTCACTGTGGGACAAAGCCTGGCTGTGCTGAGCTCAATGTGAGCACCAGCATTTGATCTTTTCCTCCTCCTTTCTTTTTTAGTTTTCCTCCCTAAATGACAGCCACGACGGGGAATGAAAAAGCCAGAAAACATCCTGCTCCTCCCTCCTTTCATGCCCAGGGAGGAAGAAATGCAGAGCCAGGAGGGGACCACATCCCTGCCTGCACCAGCATCCTGTTGTACCAGTTGCCACTGCACACAATCTGAATTGCAGATGGCTCTGGGCTATTTATGGCGATGGAGCCACGTCTGAGACAAGCAGAATCACAGCTGCTATTGTCAGAAAAAGCAGCTCCTGTACTGAATTCCCTGCTTTTTGCTCACTTTCATGCCTGGGCTCTAAGGAATTACGAGCACAGTGCTGTGTGCAACCCCACAGGTTGGTGTCCCTCAATCCCCAGCAATGACACAGCACAGCCACTCAATAAGATGACCCAAATTTATCACTTGCCCTCAGCCCCACTTTCCTCCCAGCACAGAAAGGGGACAAAGGGTCTCCTCCAAGAGCATCCCTAGATCTGGGCTTGGATGAACAGCCCCCTGGATAGAGTCCAAATGGGGCTGGTTGTCCCAAACGAGGGTTAATTGGTGGTTGGGATTTTCCAGGACCTACCTGCTCGCTGTGGAGCTCCGGGTTGGTGCCTCAGGATGAGGTGGCAGCAGTCTGCATGCAGCAATCCCCTCGCAGTCCTTCAGGAAGCAGAGGCAGGCATCAGCAGCACAGGCAGGGACCGCATCCCCCTCGGAGCTGCATTGCCCCCAAACCATTCCAGTGCATCCAGGCAGCTCCCTCCTGCTACAAAGTCAAGGCTGGTATGGCAGATTTGGAATATCAAAAAATAAACAGACAGAAACTATCAGTCTTAGAACCACAGCATCGTTTAGGTTGCAAAAAAACCTTCAAGGTCATCAAGCCCAAACTTGAACCTGACCCACTGAGCCCCACCACCCCCCATCCCACAGTACACAGCCCAGAGCCCCGTGCCAGCACTGTGCCCATTGGCCCCGACAGCAAAAGTTGAAGGCAAAGTGAACCGCAGAACGAACCAGACAACGACAGGCAAAGCAAGAAATCATGATGTTTTCCACTTCTTTTTTTTCCTCCTTGCTTATTTTCTGCTACAGATGCCCAATTATTTCCCAGGATCGCTCAGCCCCCAGGGGCCCTTTTTGCAATCACACGGAAGCGAGCTTGAAAATCAGCGCTGCCTCCAAAAGCAGCAATGCCAAGAAAAGCCACGGCAAGGACAGCACTGCAGCCCATGGGCTCAAGGGGGGACGTGATGATGGAAAGAGCCACGGGCTGGTGGATGGGCTTTGGGTTAATTTGGGCTGCTCGATGCTTTCCTGGAGCACAGCTCCAGCATTTCTTGGCTTCCCCTCGGTTGATTTGGGTTGGGACACCCAGAGCGGGCTCTGAGGCACTGCCTGCCCTCGTGTGTCCCTGCCATAGCAGCGTGTCACCACCCGGTCACTGCTGAGCAGCACCTTGGTGTCCTGTCCAAAGAGTGGAGGAGATCCCTGCCATTGTACATCTTAAAGCCACTGCCCAGACACTGGCCTTTAAAACGGCACTGGTATCACCAGAGCCCTTGGATGAGCAGGAAAGTGGGAAAAGCTATCAGTTCATGGCCAAAAAAATAGTGGCAGCACAGTTGCAGGGATAAACCTTTGTCCCACAGCATCTTCCTGCAGGAGGGATGTGGGATGAAGCACCAAGAAGCTTCCCAGGTGAGAAGGTTGGGAAGTGGCGTGTAAACGTCCCCTTATTGGCACAGGGAGGTGGTGGGGTCACCGTCCCTGGAGGTGTTTCAGAGCCATGAAGCTGTGGCACTGAGGGGTGAGGTCAGACCAGGTGACCTTAGAGATCTTTTTGAACCTTTATGATTCCACAATTCTGCTGCTCCACAGGGTTGGCCTTATAAACACCCCCAGGGTGCCCGAGCTGCTCTTCTGTAAGGGACAGCTTCCAATGCAAGCAACAGCAGAGCCAGCAAAGAACTACTGAGAAAGAGCAACGCAGCTGGAGAACATCCCAGCCTTCCCTTGAGGGCAGCTGCTGCGTTCAGAGCATAGAAAATGACTTCTGCAGATCGATCACCGCTGTCTGATGCCTCAAAGGGCAGAGCAGACAGGGGTGGCTGTCCCCTCCTGTCCTCTCCCCCTAGGCTGACTGTCTGTGGTTTTGGTGGCACACTGGGAAGGCCACAACAGGTGCCTCTGCTCAACCTGTTAGCAGGAGGTGACCTCAGGGTCCACATGCACTCCCCCCTCGTTTGTGGATATGTGCCCAAAACCCTGCATGCAAATTAGGGTCACTGTACAAAGAGGTGGGATGGCTGCCATCGGCCTTGCAGGACCAGATGATCTCAGTAGCATTTTCCAACCTTGATGATGATTCTGTGACTCCAAGCTGCCAGTGCCCCCGGCCACAGGGCTGTCCCTGCCCTCAGCATCCCTCCAGCCACAGCTCTGTCTGCTGCCTGTGCTCCCCAGGTTGCCCCTCTTGGCTGCTCTCCCCATCACCATCGCTCCCTCATCCCACAGCATCCCACACACCACAGCACAGGAGCAGTTCAGGAAGGGACACCTCACCACTTCCAACTGCTGGGGCAGGACCCTCCGGGCACACCGCACACCTCCAGGATGGGACACGAGCTGAGCACACGACACCCTCAGAACCTGCTTTTCTTTTACCCCGAGTCCCACAGTACTTTAAGAACAGAAGGTCCTCTCCAGAGCTCTGTGTGCAGAGATGCCCACCGTGCCACGGCAGCGCCCGCTCCCTCCTTCACACACCACCATCCCGATGCCCACCCCATCGCTTCGCATCAGCGCGGGCACTGAGATGTTCGCTGCTTCACTCCATCACACACAGAGGCAGCGATGGAAAGCAGGCCATCCAATACAGGGCAGGTTATCGAGGACTTCCCTCCCCGTTACCACCACGGAAGAGCACAGCAGGAGGAGAGACCCACGGCTGAAGGGGTCCTAATGACTTTTTCCACCCCCCGGCACAGCATCGCCTTTGTCATCTCCCATCACCGGCTGCTGCTTACCTCTCCCGCAGGCTCTGCTCGGGGCTGGCAGCCCAGCTCCGGGCACCGTGGGGCTGTCGGGCCGGCTGGGCACGTTGCTGGGCACGTCCATCTGGTGGCAGCTGGGCAGGTCCCACGCGATGGACGAGGACCTCCGCACTGGGGCGAGCGCCGCGCACCTCCGCGTTATGCTGCTTCGCAGCGTGGGCCCCTGCCTTATTGCTGCTGTCATCTCTGCCACCTAGAGGGGAAATTTCCCCATTGCAACTGAGATGCTCAGCGCCACGATGGGGAGAGCAGGATGCTCTGCATTAGGTACGACCCCAAAATGCTCCCAAGAAGAGTTTTTTGTGGTCACTTAAGCAAAACTTATAACCTTGCTGCACGGAACTCCTGACAACAGAAGGAAGAGCTTGCTCTCATCCGTGACAGATACACCCCAGGAGAGGCAAACAATAATTGCCAGCTGTTACATTTCTAAACATTAGTGAGGTACTGCAAGGGCTGCCCAAGGTCTGGTTCATAGAATCATAGAATGGCCTGGGTTTCAAAGGAGCACAGTGCTCATCCAGTTCCAACCCCTGCTGTGTGCAGGTCACCAACCAGCAGCCCAGGCTGCCCAGAGCCACATCCAGCCTGGCCTCGAATGCCTGCAGGGATGGGGCATCCACAGCCTCCTTGGGCAACCTGTGCCAGTGCCTCACCACCCTCTGGGGGAAAAACTTCCTCCTAAAAGGAAGTTCTGTACTGCAGAGGTTGCTCAAGGTCTGGTTCTGCCTTCTGCCATCCGCAACATGAGTTCAGTACATAAGGAGACCTGGCATGAGCAGGACTGGAGCAGGGCAGCTGGGTAAACCAGGATGAGATATAAAGAGGATGAAACCTTAAGGAGTTAGAAGTGTAAGCCTGCCCTGCTAAGGCATGGTGTGCAAACAGGCCTGGCACTGCACATCAGCCTGTGCTCCCTTATGGAGATGGCTGGATGCAACCACCTGCAGGACACTGAGGGACTCATCAACTCTCCAGGATCAAAACCCAAATGCCTGTGTGCTCCACAAGAGGCTCCAGGACAGCCAGGCTGTGAGCAGCTGTGCTGCATCCCTGTTCCCAGCTCTCACCAACCATGTTGGGCTTTGAGCACCCAATAAGGGTGCTTCAATTTCTCTAAATTTCTCCCATTTGCAGCTATAAGAATAACCAAAAATCTACCTGCATCCAAAGTCCAATGGTACAAATATGTCTGAATTACAACACTGCTGCCGAACTAACAGAGGGAAGGAAGAACTCACAGCACTTCTCTCCTAGAAAAAAAAAAAATATATGTGTGGATAGATCATATCCTGCAACTATTCCCATCCCCTCTCAGCTTATTAAACAAATCCATCTGTTCACAAGGACTGTGGTTAGAGCAGTCAGGCTGTGCTGACATGCTGCTCTGTGAAAGCAACAGACCCAGAACAGCACAGAGCCTGAGGAGGGCAGGCAGAGATGATCAGAAACGCCCAGAGGAGTTGTAGCAGATCCACAGATGAGAGCAGAGGGAGCAAAGGGAGGTCAATGCTTGTGACACTGACTGCCAGCAAAGATGAGTGCCCATCTGCCCACACTGCCCAGCAGCTGCAGCTCCTGCCCAGGCTGGCAGCTCTGCCCCCAGCAGCAGGTGCTGTGCTATTGCTTCCCAATTATCTGCCTGAGGTACAAACCTGGGAGAGCACACACACCAAGCAGCTGGCCAACAGAAACATGAGCACGAGCAGGTTTTGTTTTCCTTCCTTTTAATAGAAATATCCTAGAATAACACGGGAGGAGGATGGGCCTAAAGGGAATGTCTCTTGGAATGAAATGCTGTGATGTGGCTCAGGAATGATGTGATCAAGTTAAAACGTCCAGGCAGGCTCAGCTCAGGACTTCCTGGATTCTTGGGCCTTCTGGATTTCCTGCAAGAAGATCAGGAAAACAACTGAGCACTGTCACTTTTGGGAAGCACTGGTTTCACAGATGTGGAGAGCAGAAGAAATCACCTCAGCAGAAGCCCCACAGAAAAGCCCCAGCATCATAGCATCGAGGCTCTCATGTCAGCACTGGCCTTGGAACACAGCAAGGTGTGACTGAGAGGCTCCTCACAACACCATACCCCTTCTGTGCTCTCCAGAGGTGTTCTGCCACCAGTCCAGGACTGAGCCGGATCCATTTCCCACTCCTGGGCCACAGACCCACCATCATTCAGCAGCTCAACCTGGATCTGCTGCGGGCACACTTCTGTGGCTGGCTGTGGTCTGACTGCTCAGCCAGGCCTACCCAGGGAGAAGGCAGCAAAGCCCCCCAGGACTCACCTTCAGGAGCTGCTCCTTCAGTTCTGAATAGGCTTTTTCTAGATCATCATTAATAATGACCAAGTCAAAGAGGCCAGGCTCTTTACCTAGTGAAGGAGACAAGGACAGAGGGCTTACAGAAGAACACTCTCCTTTCCTGTGTCATCTCTCATGCACGACCTGAGTTCCTGCAGCATTTTATTATCATCATTTCAGCCACTGCTTATGCGCTTCTCTGCTAAACGCCCTCAAGGAACTGCAATGGGAAATGATGCAGCATGATGCTCAGATCAAACCCAGCTAATGCCCAAACCCCGCCAGCGTTCCTCTGAGAAGAGTCAGATGTCTGTGCAGAAAACAGGTCCTCCACTCCCAGTGCACCCCCCCTCCCTGGGCACTCTGCTCAAAAACTCCCAGACTTACTAAGTTCCAAATCTACACGGGCTGCAGTCAAACGCTTCTGTAGACTTTCTTCTGTCTCAGTCTGTCGGTCACGCAGTCTTTTTTCCTTAAACCCAATGACAAACACATTAAAGAAATGTACCCCAAATGCTGCATGCAGGAAATGCCCCATCCCATCACCAAAGCACAGATATCTTCTGCTGTCAGCAACAGTGGGAGTGACATAACACTCTGCTGGAGGCCTCAATTCCAGCCCAAACCTGTGCCCAAGCTCAGCCTGGGCTGTGGATGGCTGATCCACAGCTCCAGTTCCCAGTCTCTTCTTCTTCTCTGCATATTCATGCCCACATTCCTCCCTGAACCATGACAGGGATTCACTTCTCCCAGAGGCACAGAGCAATCACTGCTCTTCAGGACCACACAAGAAGGAAGGGGTGTAGGTTTATCAGTGCTGCAGAGAGACAGCCTCCTTAGGTCTAACTTCAATAACTGGAAGCAAGTCTCATCGCAAACTCTGCTTACCTCCCAGTGCAAGCACAACTAATGTGTTTGGAGCTTATAACCCAGCACAAGCAACCACACTGACAACATAGAAACCGTGCAGGAGAGACACGAATAACAGGGTTGGGAAAGGTTGATCACAGGGACCCAGGCTGGGCAGAGCTAACAGCGTGCTTGGAAGCCTCTTCCCCACTCCCCCAGTCCCTAAGAACATATCTCCCTTCAACAACAAGGGGGGGAACCCTCATGGCTTCAGAGCAAGACGCCGATTACCTCTAACCGCTTAACGGCAAAGGAAGGCGGCCGCTCACCAGGACATCTATGGATGGAGGCTGCACCGAGATGTAGATGGGGTTCAGGTCTGTCTTCTTGATGTTCTTTACGCCTTGGATGTCAATGTCCAGGATGCAGATCTGGTTCTTGGCCTGAACAGCCTGCACTGCACCTTTACTAGGGACAGATAAACCAGGGAGGGGTCAGAGCCTCCAGCACAGCAGGGAGGTTTGGGACTCCTCAGCATTAGGTCTCATAGGGCTCCCATGTACCCAAACTGCTGCAGGAGGGAAGAACGTCTGCTTTGCTCTTGCTGAGCAGTTTCTCTTCCCTTGTGTGTCCTTTGGGATCCTGGGGGTAGTGCAGAGGACAAAGTCCTGATAGAGGGTGTGGAAATAGATAATGCGACTATTCCACGAGGAGAGGATGGTGACAGGACAAGGGGCAGTGGTTTGAAACCATTACAGGGGAGGTTTAGGTTGGATATGAGGAGGAAGTTTTTCCCCCAGAGGGTGGTGAGGCACTGGCACAGGTTGCCCAAGGAGGCTGTGGATGCCCCATCCCTGCAGGCATTCAAGGCCAGGCTGGATGTGGCTCTGGGCAGCCTGGGCTGCTGGTTGGCGACCTGCACACAGCAGGGGTTGGAACTGGACGAGCTTTTTGATCCTTTTCAACACAAGCCATTCTATGATCTGTGCTTGTGGCCCAAGCACGGGCCATTAAGCTCCTCCCTTAGACAAATACAGGAGCAGTCTCACCAAAGAACAGAACAGAGAATTTTCCTTCCCTGATTTCTGTACCCATGCACTCTCCTGAAGGATGCTTAATGGATGCTTTGGACTGCTCCACAAGATGCACAATCAAGAAAATTCTGTAATGATTCTCTTATGTGCTCAAAGATGACTGTACCTTCCTACAAAGCAGGCTGTATACAACTGCCTCCAGCTTTTTCCTGAATACTTACAGTTATCCTTTGAAAAGCAGCAACTCCATCCCTCTGCCAGTACACCAGAGGTGCCCGGATTAATTCCTGCCCCATCAGGGCACTCCTTGGGCAGGATTTGTACAGGGCAGCAGGCAGGATCTCCTCCAAGACAGGGCTCAGTGGCACAAAAGCAATGCACAGCACTAGGAGCTCAGAGGTGGCCACTGCAGAGATTTGGAGGGAGCTGAATAAGGAGTGGCAGCAGAAATAAAGAGAAAACGTTGCCCTACAGCCAGCCCTAAACCTGCTCAATTCCTTGCCTGTAATCAGGGCACCTCTTTGGATCTCTCCTCGTGAACCTGCACCTGCAAAATCTGCCCTGTGATAGAAAGAGCTTTCCACAGAGATGTGCTGAACACAAACCACCACCAACAAGCATTTCTGTCCCATCCTGTGCCCTAGGAATGAAGCAAAGCTCTGGCCAAGGAGGACTCCTTACTGCTAGCACTCCTTCCCCAGCTCTCTCCAGTGCTGCTCCCCGGTTAGCAGTGCCCTGGGCTGGAGAAGACAAAGCCTTCACCAGCACAAAGCACCCACGGGTGTCAGGCAGCAGATGCTCAGGGTCACAGCACAGGTGTCTGCAGGGCACGAGCAGAGCAAACTGTGGTAGCACAGATGGAGAGCCCTCAGCCCATGGATGCCACAACCTCAGTACGACCTCCTGCAACCACTAATAGAAAGGATGGAGGCAGCATGAGCAGAAGGTGCCCCTCAGAAGGATACAAAGAGCCAAAATGGGGAAAGTGGCAACGATTTCAGGTAAACTCTGAGCTCTGAAAAACCCCAGAGAAGAGCAAGGGAGCAGCCCAGCACACCTATGAAGAGAGCTGCTCACACCAGACAGAAGGGAAGAGCAAGCTGACAGGCAGCCCATCTGCACAGCTGACCTGCTTGGTGGCAAGGACTGCTGTCTACGGAGATGCTGCTGTCACAGAGGCACAGGGGGTGGCTGGTGGCTCTCATGATGCCACGAGGGTCCCACAGCACAGGTCACTTAAACCCCAGCAGGAAGGGGAAAGCTGCAGTGATCCTGTGAGACCTGCACTGTGACCTGTATGAATACAAAGATTTGCTACCTTGCCCAAGGGGGCAGCAGCAAAAGCCCAGACCTGAGCATCCACAGCAAATCCACAAGATCTCCCCAGAAGAGCTCTTTTTTTTTTTTGCCATAGGCTTCACCTGCTGTCAATGGGTGTCCAGCAATTCCTGCTACAAGCAAGCCACTGAGAGCCAACAACAGCTCTCAGCACAGGGCAGAGAACCCCGTGCTTCCATCCTGACCACAACCTGCAATTTAAGGCAGCTTCCAAGAAGTCCTGGTTTCTGTGGGCTTATCAAACACGATCCTTCAACTCTTTCAAGACTCTGAAAGAAAATTAATTTAGATATTAAATATCATTAGCTGGTAAGATTTAGGGAGCACAAAAGATTGGCAAAAGCTTCAACTCCCCTGATAAGCATGAGAGACTCTCCAATTAGCACATATCTCATGAGAAATAGGCACTTATATGGAAAATATAGACTTGGATAGTTTTGATATATATTTTGTTTGCCAAGAGGTATTTAAGGCTTTGGGTTAGTTTCTGATTTGGGTTAAGTTCAGCCTTCCACACTGCATGTTTTGTGTGCATACGCAGAAGAAACTGAAGGAACACACACCCCTCATTCTTCTCTGCTCCACTCAGGGTCAGCCAAACTGACAGACTCTGGGCTCACAACAACACAACCTTGTTTTTCCAAGGGCGTTCAGGTACCCCATGTCCTCCTGGTAACTTCTGACTCACGTTAGCCTTTTCCACTCACGTCTGTTTGAATTCTGTGGGAATCAGCTGCAGAAAGGAGCCCTCCCAGCACACACCCTGGTGGAAGGGCACTGCCACCTCTTCAAACCACAGCAGACATCTGAGAACTGCCACCTCCTCTGCACCAAGCAGCATGGATTACGCAGGGCGCACACGGAGGAAGGAAGCCTGTCCTACACACCATAAACCCTGGGATTAAGGAGTCTGAACTTGGCTTCTCCTTGGCGCTGGGCACCTGAGGTAAACTGGAAGATGAGTTGTCAGGTTGTGATTCTCTTGCCAAATGAGCAATGCTGAAAGCACCGCGGCCAAAGCAGAGACCATCCTCCTCTAGAAGCCTCAGGGGGCCACGGCCACGTCCCCGAAAGACTGCCCAAGCTGTGGGAAAGCAGTGGTGTCAGTGCATAGTGCATTCAAACAGCTCTCTCTCCTTTGAAGGAAGGCTGAGAGCTGGTGTTGTCTGGCCTGAAGAAGGGAAGGCTTAGGGGAGACCTCACTGTGGCCTTCCAACACGTCAAGGTGGTTACTAAAACCCAAACCACGCTGATAATGAATGAGCCACATTAATGGAATGCAAAGTCAGCAACCATTCCTTCAGAGCTGCACATTCTTTTTCAGGGCCTCAGGTTGATGCATCCCATAAGGAAACAAGATTCAGAAGCTCTCTCTGCTGTCTCCAAAAAATTCTCCAAGAAGCACATTGAGCCCTTAAGGAAACACAGACCTTCCTGAAAAGTGTTCCAGGTTCATTCAACCAACCAAATCTCTCAGACATATTTAACTTTCCTCCTTAGCAGGTCCTCTGCTGCATTGCCACAATTTCCTAGCAATAATTACATAAGATATCTGACTTCTAATTAACATTGCCGCTTAATGTTTTATTGATCTTCAGCTCTGATGCCCAGAGCAATGCTATTTTAAAATCCACCTAATTCTTTAACCACAGTCAAGGGTGGCACACAACATATCTATGTACCATCAGCTGCCTCAGGAAAGAAGCACTCATACTTGCTTCACAATCACAGAATGGCCTGGGTTGCAAAGGAGCACAGTGCTCATCCAGCTCCAACCCCTGCTGTGTGCAGGTCACCAACCAGCAGCCCAGGCTGCCCAGAGCCACATCCAGCCTGGCCTTGAATGCCTGCAGGGATGGGGCATCCACAGCCTCCTTGGGCAACCTGTGCCAGTGCCTCACCACCCTCTGTGTGAGAATAACAGCCAGTGGAGATGCCATCCCTTCTGCCCCTGGATTTACCACATTCAAACTAACAGGTAATGTGGGATGTATGGACAGGAAGCTTCCCCAGGTGAATCACTTTCTCCTCCAGCACCACCTGTGCTCAGTGGTGATGGTCTGAATGCATACCTCGTCCCATACATATTTCCTGAGAACTCTGCGTGCTCAATGAATTCACCAGCATCGATTTCTTTCTTCATTTCTTCTCTGGTCACAAAGTGGTAATCTGAAAATGAGGAAAAACTCACAGAAATTAGCAGCTTGGAAGGTAAACTTGATGGCCAAAGACATGCATGGGTGCTCAGGGCAAACACACCTGAAAATCTGTCTGAAAATCTTCAGACAACCTTGGCAGACAGTAGATATCTACCTTCTAATCAACACATACAGCACTCCCTCTCTACCCCAACTGACCAGACATCTGCTCCAATGCTTCTGGAGCACTGTGAGGCCAGGCATGCTGCTGTGCACTCTTCTTCATGCTCGCTCCCTCCTCCCCAACCTCCTGCTTGCACAGTGAGAAACTCCCCTGCAATCCTGGAACGTGTTACAGGAGGACTGCCAAGGCCAGTGATTTGAAAGCATTTATGATTACAGACTAGAACGGGGAAAGACAGAGAGAGACATAAAAGGGAAGATTAAATATAAAAGAACAGAAATTATTCTCTCTCTTTTATTGAAACATCTCCCTCTCATTTCAGAATGAAGGCTGCCTTTGGAAATTAAGTGCAAAACTCATTTGTCACTTTCTGAAATATGGCAACAAACCAGGAAAAGCATCTTGTCAGCTGCACACAAGCTATTAACTTAGATAAAGACTCCTTAAGTAGGTGCATTTCCCAAAACACTGTGCCTTGGATGAGCTAACCAGAGATGCTTGACACTTTGGAAAGGAGCATATAAACAGGAGGGGGAACAGCTGTTCATGGGGGTGGATGGTGACAGGACAAGGGGGAATGGTTTTAAACTGAGACAGGGGAGGTTTAGGTTGGATATGAGGAGGAAGTTTTTCATCCAGAGGGTGGTGGGGCACTGGCACAGGTTGCCCAAGGAGGCTGTGGATGCCCCATCCCTGCAGGCATTCAAGGCCAGGCTGGATGTGGCTCTGGGCAGCCTGGGCTGCTGGTTGGCGACCTGCACACAGCAGGGGGTTGGAACTGGATGAGCACTGTGCTCCTTTGCAACCCAAGCTTCTGTGATTCTACGAAATCAAGCCACTCAGTGCTCACATACAGACTGCAGTGCTTAAACTGAGAGCCCCACACTGACACAGGGACCAAGACTTTCAAAGAAAGAAAGTCTAGAAAGACAGGGAGCATACGCTCTGCCTCAGCTAGCATTTCGCTGCTTAATTCAGTCATAGTTCTGTTCTGTCAAATCCATTCCTCTTCACTTCTTCTTTCCAGTGTACAGACTGTGCTGCAGAATGGCAGTCACTACAGTCTCACAGCCACTGAGGTCAAAACCAAAAGGTATACACCTTCAGATAGATCATTACTGACCACTCCCTCCTTCTGCCTACAGAAATGCACCCTATAAACACAAATGTAGGACCATCACTTACCTGCATTTCCCATAAGAACTTACCAGATTCATTACTGCTCTGAAAACACGTGAGACATGCCCAGTTACAACACACTCACCTTTGCCATTTACTTCTCCGGGTCTTGGCTGCCTCGTTGTATCTGCAAGCAAAAAACAGCCTTGGAAAGTGCAGGAACAAGGAAGTAGCAGTATAAAAGACAAAAGAGCACCACACATAGAAATTAATTCAAACACACTGCGATGATCAAAGCTTCTGGAATCAGTGGAATCCACAACTGGCCATTAATTGAAGAATTCTAGATAATCTGGAAGCAATTGTGATTGTTAGGTGCACAGCAGGCAGTCTGAGTCCTTACACACCCCAGGTTTAGCTTCTGCTACAGACCTCCTGTGTAATCCTGGATGTGGCATCCAGATCCCTGTCTCGGTGCAGAGGAATTAGCAGTGTCCTACTTTGCAAAGTTATCTTCGTTGGAAAAGATTAAGCAGCACCTACAGACACACTTAAAATAGCCAGCTTTAAGGAACAAGGGTAAAGTGCTGCACGAAGCAGGTGAATAAGTCAGACTGCTTTTGAAACCTGTTGGAAGTCATTCAAGTTTGCATTATTTTAAGATGCTCTGCAAACCAAAAGAAATCTGGTCAGTGTGGAAGGCAATGCCAGTTATTTTATTTAGGACTGGCAAGAGTTACAGTAAGGCAATGGGGTGAATGAGCTGCGTGTGCAGCCCAAACTCTGAGGGTAATCTTTAAAGTGTCACTAAGGGAAAAGGAAACATCTGTCTCCCAACAAGCTGCACTCTCCTATGGCTTCAACAGCACATAGCAACACTGCAACCACAGTGCTGCATTAAGGCCCTACAGCCCCTCTCAAAAGACCAAGGAGAGCAGCACATCCTTCTACAGAATTCAGTAGGAGAGGAAGGGGATTTAAAATAATTCTGCTCATGTAAATGGATGGTTATCATACAATTCCACCAACCTGTGCTCGTTTTGCCCTAAGCCAATGCCTCTTTCCCACAGGCTCCCAGGGACAGAGAAGCTGCACTCACCCACCTGTTGTGTGTCAGAGGATGTAACATTCCAACACTGCAAGCCACATCTCCCATGACTAAGGGAGATGTTCTCCTGAGTACTTGCCAGCACTGCCTGCAGCCAGGTGTGAGTGGGTCATGTCAGCAAGCCAGGGCTATTTTCATGTTACAGGGAACTGTGTTAGGTCGAATAAAGGTCCCCTGCATCATTTAAAGGCACCAAAAGCCCACAGACAGATGCAGGCAAAGAACAGAAGCCTGTTATATGGGACACAATTAGAGGTAGAGAACTGGGCTCTGGGCTTGTAGCCTCAAACTCCTTCACTGCCCGTCCATCAGATACTCACGAGAGACACTGAAGCCGAAGATGTTCTCATAATCTTTAAACAATTTCTTTATCAAAGTGCTCTTCCCTGCACCTGATGGGCCACTCAGAACCACTGGTCTCGGTCCCTGCATGGCTACACAGACAAACAAACACATGGCTGGTTAGAAATACGTAGAAAACAGGCTCCCAGTGGCATCTCAGGACCAAGAGTGCCTGTCCCTTATTTGATACAAGTTTCTGGTGAAAAATGTTACATTATGAGAAATCAGAAGATGAGAGCTGATGGAAAACACTGAGGAGCACAGGAAATCCAAAGAAAATTACATCAGCAAACCTGCCACAAAAGGAGGAAGTTGTCACCTCTGCACTGAGGAGAAAAGGCACCGGCCTGGCTCTGAGGGGCTGCATTTGGAAAGCTGATGATGGGGCCACCAGCAATGCAGCAGGACAGCATCACTCAGCTTTGCCTCTCATCCTGGTCTGCATGCGTAACAGAAGGGAAATAAACCTCAAAACCCTGCAGCAGTGCCTGGGGACACAGCAGGCCACAGCTGCACTCTGCAGCACAAAGTGCAGCTCGAGGTGTGGCAACAAGCAAGAAGGGTTTGGCTCCCAGCAAAGAAACAAGGCAGCCTTGGGTTACACAGACATCTCTATTGTTTCTTCAGCCAGAAGGAAAAGAGTGGGTGTTTTCATGCACCTGCCACCCTGGGGAGGGAGTGGTTAATTACTAATGGTTAATTACTAATATGTGAATTAGGAGTAGTACAGTGCAGGGTTTTCTCTGGGGACTGTCATCCACCAGCAGCAACTGGGCAGCCTCTAAGGCAGAGGTGATGCTAAAAGCAGGACAAACCCAATTATTTTTCCTGCTTAAACCCTCTCCCTTCCACAAGCAGTGAAGCCCCCAAAAGGCATCTCTTAGCCTGGCCCAAGGAGCATTCAGCACACAGACAGCATAATGCCCTTCCATTTCAAATTAGATCATAGCAATGTCATCCTGACCTTACAAATCACTTTTCAAAGAGCCTTAAGCCACACGCAACCTCTTACAAAAGCAGCTGCTGCCACGGATGGTGTGGCTGGCTTATGTGGCTCTGCTGCCTACCTGACCCCAGCCAGATCCCTCCTTATCTCCAGATCCCTGCTGCACAGCTCTGTTATCTCTCACACACCTACCAAGCAGCACTAAAACCAGCAAAGCACGAGTTCTCCATGTTCCCTGCAATCCAAGCCTGAACAAAAAGGCAGATACCCAAAGACTACCCAGACATCTAATGCATACATGGCCATAAGAACACCTAAGTTCAATCACCAGCTGTCAAGGAACTGTTTTGTTGCTGCAGGGTTAGTCCCACCATACCTGCATTACTGTGCTGCTGAACGAGGCTTCGTCATCCCACAAAGAAAGTTTAAATGATGAACAAATCTTTAGGAAGTCCTCTTGGGTACAGAACTGTGCTGTTCTTCCCTGAGCCTCTGGTAACTTCTAAACAGCCCAGGTTTTCCCTACCTGCTCAATACAGAAAACAAACACCCCCCTGCACCACCCCACCAAACTCAATGCCTGGAGCAAGGAAGCAACGCTGCTCTTGCTGACTTTTCTGAAGCATCTCTGTCTCCCCTTGTTCCTCCCACCCACAAAGCAGCAGGAGAACATCAGTGAACCCTGACCAACAGAAGAGAAACATCCCAGCCAGGATGCTGCTCTCCTCTCCTTCCCCTGGAATCTCCTACCCTCTCTCAGGCAGACAGGAATGTAAAGCTGCTCAAATCATTTGTGATTATTTCATCCAAGCCCAGGGAAATTGGGAAGGAGTAACAAACTGAGTGCTGGCTTCCAGTGCACCCCTACCTTTTGCTTTTGCTCCCTCGCAGCCAAGTTCAGTTCCTCACAGTGGTGACAGGTTTCAATCTGAGCAGGCAGGCAGAGAGCTGAGCTATTTGTGAGCTGCCTAATTACCACGCTGCAATTTTAAGGCAGCCAATGGAAATTGCTCGCTGATCTTTAATCTCCTCTTGTACTTTCTGCTCTGCTCCCTGCTCTCCTGGCAGGTGAAGTCACAGTCAATCACCTTTAACAAGCTGATGGATGCCAGCACTTGCTGGCACGGCTGTGGGACACAGTGCCTTTGGGATTTCACCTTCTGCAGAAAATGTTCTTTAGGACTGAAGTTGGCATGGCTGCTGCTCCCAGCCACTGCTCCATCTCAGCTCAGTGATTAACACAACTGTCTGTAATGACAACACATTCCTTTCCTTGCCCAAACCTCCAACCAGCACATTTCCAGCCCCTCTGCAGTGGAACACAGCACATCACCCAAGCTCTCTGCCTGGAACTGCCCCACTTTGGCTAAAATATTACAATATCAGAACAAAAAACTGCACTCAAGGTGTCTGACCAACGCAGTGGCATTGGTGGACAAAGGCAGAGCAACTGATAATGCCTACCTGTAGTTGTGCAAGGACTCTGACGTGGTCCCATACCACGTTCTTAGCTCTACATTGGAGAAAGATGGATTTGAAGGGCAGGCTGTTAGGCAGATAAAGAATTGGTTGGATGGTCACAGTTAGAGGGCTGCTGTCAATGGCTCTACATCCAGGCAGAGGCACAGGGCAAGCAGTGACCTGGCTCCACGTCCCCAGAGAATGCCTAGGCTGGTCAACCTCAACCTGTAACTCCAGCTTCTGTGTTTCTACAAGCCTCCTTTAAACCTACAGCCTCCAAAATCCTCAGTGGACAGGACTAAGTTTCCTTAAAGTCTTGTATTGGAGGCTCTTGACCTCGAAACACATCCCTCCATCAGATGCCAAATGTTCTACCCAACCAGGGCAAATACCAAACCCCTCCAACACCCAGTTTTCCTTTTCTGGACATCTGGATGTTAAGAATCTTGCACCTGTGTTGTTATTGAACTGAAAGCCAGGGGTGCCAGCCACTTGCTGAGGTCCTGGTTTGCAATGAAGGCTGCTGGCACTTGGCTGTGAGGGAGGAAGGCTGCAGGTAAAGCACTCAAGGATGGCTGAGCAGGGAGCTGTGCCCTGAGGACCTGGATTCCTTTGTGTCTGATCTGTGTGACACTTCTCCACATTCTGCAACCCCTCCCTTTACTTTTTTTTTTTTTCCCCCACAGCAATACTGAGAAGTGAGAAGAGACAGGTGTTGCAATCACAGGTCTCACCTCTTTAAAAAGGCTGAAAGTAAACCTAAGGACTGGCAGATGTTTACTCCTGCCTCCATCTTCTTTGCTAGAAACCTCTACAGCAAAACAAGACAATTTACAGGAAAACACCCCATCCATTTTCACTGCCAGTTGAAGAGGTTGAGCCCTCTGTGTGCAGCAGACAGAGAGCATCCAGCTACGAACTGGAAATCCACATCACTGTGGAACAAAACCAGCTCAGCACTGGTTTTATTTTTTCAGCCCTTTGCTCAGATTTTGGCACTTTCAGAGCAGCTGATTCCCAAACACAAAGGATCTCTCCTAAAGTGGTTTTGAACCCAGCCTAACCACCACGGGTACCCAAACCCACAGCAGTGTGGTTTTGCAGCTGCAAGATGAAGGCTACAGAGATGCTGTTGGGCTGCAAAATGATACAGGGTGCAAACAAGAAACCATCCCAAAGGCAGGGAGCAAATCTCCCTCTGGTCCTGCTTGCTACAGGCAAGGTGAATTTTACCTGGCAGGTGGCAAGTCGACCAGCAGGACAAAGGCCAGACATCACAAAGAGTTAAACATAATTAATGCTGATTAGCAGAACAGCTTTGAAGAGAAGGCAAAGCCCCACTACAAAGGAGAAAAGCAGCTTAAAGGACAGTTTGTTGGGAGCCCCAGCTAAGGACTCCTGGATTAGGAATAAAATCCCATTCCCTATTTTTAGCATGTTCTCCATGAACTCCCAACTCCTCCTTTCTAACTTTTAGGACTGATTCTTAACAGCTGCTGGACACACAATCATTAACCAGGAGCCACAGGAGCTATGCAGAACAGGGCTAAAAGGAGAGGCTGCCTGAATGCACTGTGGGTTGTTTTATTAAAAGGCATGACTTGCTTTTACCCTTCCTCCAAACTTTTTCTTTGCCCTCTCAAGTGGTTCCACTTTTGACACATGAGAAGAGAAGGGCAGCTCTGCTTGCATGGAACCACCATGCCCAGCACCAGCCCAGCAATTGGGCTGTCTCACCAGCCACGTGAAACAAGTCATAGAACCACAGAATCATCAAGGTTGGAAAAGATCTCCAAGATCATCCAGTCCAACCGTCCACCTATTGCCAATAGTTCTCACTAAACCCTGTCCCTCAGCACAGCATCTAAATATTCCTTGAACACTTCCAGGGTCAGCGATTCCACCACCTTCCTGGGCAGTCCATTCCAGTACCTGACCACAGAATGGCCAGGATTGGAAGAGACCTCAAGGATCATGAAGATCCAACCTCCCTGCCACATGCAGGGCCACCAACCTCCACATTTCATACCAGCCCAGGCTGCCCAGGGCCCCATCCAACCTGGCCTTGAACACCTCCAGGGATGGACGGGGCATCCACAGCCTCTCTGGGCAGCTGTTCCAGCACCTCACCACTCTCTCTGTAAAGAATTTCCCCCTGACATAAAATGTAAATCTTCCCTCCCTCAACTTAAAACCATTTCCCCTTCTCCTGCTGTTATCAACCCTTTCAAAGAGTTGACTCCCCTTCTGTTTGTAAGCTCTGAAAGGCTGCAATGAGGTCACCCCACAGCCTTCTTTTCTGCAGGGTGAACAAGCCCAGCTCCCTCAGCCTGTCAATGAAGTAACAAGGATCCAACACAGGTATGATAATTAAAAGCAGATTCAGTGTGCTATCTCCTGCCTTCGTTAATTCTATATGGGGATTTCTCCGACCCACAGCTAGCAATTCCTTCCTCCTTCACAGAGAAGCACTGACAGGAGCTGAGCAGCCCCATGCAGCTGGCAGGCACACCGAGCCATGTTTTATCTGCAAACGGTCACCAAAAAAGCTAATTTGGAATCATAGAATTACTCAGGTTGGAAAAGATCTTAAAGAACATCAAGCCCAACCACAACCTAACCATATTACCCTAACTCTAGCAGCCCTCTGCTAAACCACGTCCCCGAGCATCACAGCCAGGTTGCTTTTAAACACATCCAGGGATGGTGACTCAACCTCTAATACCCAGACAGAGGTACCTGAAGAGAGCAGTAAGGCCTCCCCTCAGCCTCCTCTTCCCCAGACCAAACAGCCCCAGTTCCTCCACTCTCTCCTCACAGGCCATATTCTCCAAGCCCTTCCCCAGCCTTGCTGCCCTTCTCTGGACCTGCTCCAGCACCTCCACGTCCTTTCTGTACCGAAGTGCCCAAAACTGAACACAGAATCTCCTCCCCAAGCCTGCAGGGCTCCCTGGGGGACAGGCAGGGTACGGCTGGGCTCTGAACGCCCTCACCAACCCGAGGAGGCCCCGCACCCCTCACACACAGCTCCCTCGGGATGCCGACCCCCTCCCCTCGCTCCCCTCGCTCTCCTCGCCCTCTACCCGCCCTTTTCCCCACACACAGCCGCTGCCTCCCGCCGCTCACCCGCCGCCCGGGCGATGGCCCCGCGCAGCCGCCTCCAGCTCATGAGGGGAGGGGGGCAGCAGGGGGGGGTGGAGCGCGGCGCTGGGGATTTCCGTCAGCCCCTGCTGACGTCACGCGAGGCGGCCAGGCGGGAGGTGCGCCGCTGGGTGAGGTCACGTGAGTGGGAGAAACCATGAGCGCGGAGTGCGGGGGGGGGGGGGGGGGCCGGGGCTTTGTCGGGGGGGGGGGAGCGGCGTGGGGGGTCGGAACGAGCGGAGGGCGTGGGTTGAGGGCACCGCGGTGCCGGGAGGTGGCGGCGGGGACAGCGGTGCTATGGGCGGCGGGGGGAGGGCATCACCGTGCGCTGAACCATTGCGGGAGGGGGTGGGGGGTGTGTTTGCCGGCGGGGGGGGAGGACTGCATAGGGCCAATCCATTGCGGGGTGGGGGCGCCATCTTGGGGTCAGGAGCGCGGTGAGGGGCGGGCGCCATCTTGGATCCGAAGTGAGGGGCGGGCGCCATCTTGAGGCCGGTGTGGGGGTGGGCGCCATCTTGAGGCTGAGGGTTGGGGGTGTCCCCGCGCTCTGCTGTGGGGATGTCACCTCATGCCAACCATCCCCTGAGAACCGTCCCTGTTCCCAGGTTGACCCCAAGAGGCAGCGCGGCGTCCCCTCGCGCAGAGCACAATGGAGGCTGTGTGGAGAGCACTGAGGTGAGAACGGTGCTTGGCCCTTGGGAGCCCCAGTCTGGGGTCTGAAGTGCATGTTCATCACCTGCTCTGTGGTAATCAACCCTTATGCTCTCAGGAGAGACATTATGTATTTTGGAGTTGTCCACAGAATCACAGAATAGCTGGGGTTGGAACAGACCTCAAGGATCATGAATCTCCAGCCTCCCTGACATAGGCAGGGGTCCAGGCCTGGTGCTTGGTGCTTTCCCACAGATCAAGCTCAGGCAGGAAACTGTTGACACAGTATTTATTTGCAGAAGTTACAAAGTTAGTAGTTTTCCAGCTTTTAGTTGCAGTCTTTCCTACAGCTATAATGTTGCTGGCTGTATACCTCCATTACTACCTGCTCAGGGGAAGAGCCTTCGCCTGGCTGCGCTTTCTAGCGCGATAATGAAGGCACTGCAGTGAAGGATTCGTGGCTTTTCTTTATAAGTTGGCATCGTCCCCCAGAGTATCACAGAATCATTAAGGCTGGAAAAGTTCTTGACTATGAGAGTGGTGAGGTGCAGGAACAGCTGCTCACAGAGGCTGTGGATGCGCCGTCCCTGAAGATGTTCGAGGCCAGATTGCATGAAGCCCTGAGCAGCCTGGTCTGGTATTAAATGTGGAGGTTGGTGGCCCTGCTTGCAAGCAGGGGGTTGGAGCTTCGTGATTCTTGAGGTCTCTTCCAGCCCAAACCATTCTGTGATTCTGTGAAAAGACCGCTCCTGATTAATATTCCCTTCAAGGCCTCCTGACTCTGGGTGTTTGTTGGTTAAGGATAGCAAGTGTTTGTTCTTCCGACACCTAATGCAATGGAACTAGGTGATCTTGGAGGTCACTTCCAACCCAAGCCATTTTGTGATGCCATCCAGAAAGATCCAGACAGGCTGAGTGGTGGGCCCAGGTGAACCTCATGATGTTCACAAATCCGAGTGCAAGGTCTGCACCTGGGTTCTGGCAACCTCCACTGTCACATCATGGGATGTAAGGATGGGACACAGCCCTGCTGAGCGGGAGCTGGAGATACTGGTGGATGGCAGCTGGGCACGAGCCAGCACTGCGCCTTCCCACCCCAAAAGCCAACTGTACCCTGGGTGCATCCAGAGCCATATGTGACCAGCTTTCAGCATGAGGAAGGGGGTCTGTCCCACTTGTCTGTGTTGTCAGACCTCACCTGGAGTGGTGCATCCAGATTAGGATGAGGGTTATGGCAGTGAGGCACAGGTTGCCCGTGGAGGTGGCGATGTCCCATCTCTGGAGACACCGGAGGTCATGGATGGGGCGGTGAGCACCTGATGAGCTGTGGGTGACCCTGTGCCCTGCAGGGAGTGGGACCAGATGGCCTTTAGCTCTTGGAGCAGGACCAGTGTAATGCTGCTAAGATGATCAGAGGGCTGAGCACCTCTTCTATGAGGAAAGGTTGAGGGAACTGGGCTTGTTTAGCTTGGAGAAGAGAAGGCTGCAGGGAGACCTCATGGTGGCCTTCCAGTACTTGAAGGGAGCAGATAAACAGGAGGGGGAACGGCTGTTTGTGAGGGTGGGTGGTGATAGGACAAGGGGAATGGTTTAAAGTGAGACAGGGGAGGTTTAGATTGGATCTGAGGAGGAAGTTTTTCAGCCAGAGGGTGGTGGGGCACTGGCACAGGTTGCCCAAGGAGGCTGTGGATGCCCCATCCCTGCAGGCATTCAAGGCCAGGCTGGATGTGGCTCTGGGCAGCCTGGGCTGCTGGTTGGTGACCTGCACACAGCAGGGCTTGGAGCTGGATGAGCATCGTGCTCCTTTGCAACCCAGGCCATTCTATGATTTTACAGTTCCGTGACCCTCACAGGTCCCTTCCAACTCAAATAGTGCTCCAGTTCACGACTGCTTTGCCTCCCGCAGCGCCCTGCAGCCCCGCTGCCTGCACACCGCCTGCAGCCGCCACAACTCCAACCGCACCTCCATCACCCACCTGCGCCGCCAGGTGTACGGCCGCCTCTACCCGCTGCTGCTGGTCCGCACCGATGGCTCCACCATCCACATCCGCTACAAGGAGCCCAAAAGGATCCTCATGGTAAGGGACACAGCCCAACAGCTAGAGATAAGGGCGCTCAGGGGGGTGTGTTGCTTTCGGTGCTGCAGCCTCACTCTCCTGTCACTTGCTCCCCAGCTGCCCTTGGACAGCAGCACGCTGCCTGAGGCGGAGCGCAAGGCCCGGCTGCGGCGGCAGTTCCCCAGCAAGCTGCAGGCCAAGCAGGAGGAGGCCTTGGAGGAGCTGGACTTGGAGAAATACAAGAAATTTTGGAAGAAGTGAGGCACCGATTTGGGATCAGCCCCCACCGAGACTCCCTACCAAGCGGTGGCTGATGGACACAGCTATAGAAATAAAGAGAAGAGCAATTTTGTTAAGAACTCATTTGGGGTTTTTCGGTGGTTTTGCCTCATTTCACGCCTGTTTTGGGCGGCTCAGGGCAGCATGGCCGTTCACCCTCACCCTCCCCTCCCCTCTGCGTTATGGTGGTACCGCCCGCCTCCCCTCCCGGCCCGGTGGTAGCGCCCGGGGCGGGGCTACAGCGCGCGGGCCCCGCGGCCCGGAGAGGTGCGTGGCGGGGGCTGGGCCGGGCCGGGCAGGGGGGGTTCCGGGTTGGGCCGTTTTCCCCTCCAACGATTCTGTGATCCCGAGTGTGCGGCACCGGCCTTGGGGTCGCGGTTTCCCCCTTCCCTCTCTTACCGCTGGGCGGCTTCCCCCGGGCCGTGCAGCCCTCCCTTGGGCCGTCCCAACTCATGCAGATCCATATTGCCAGCCCAGGTAACCTCCCAACCCACTCAGACCCTCATTGCCAGGCTACGTGCTCTCCTGTAATCCATGCCAGCCCATTTCCAGCCCATGCATCCCCAGTGGGTCATGCAATTGCCTCCCCCCCAACCCACTACAGATCCCACGGCCAGGCTTTGCAACCTTCCCCCCCTCCTCTCCCAAACCCGTTGAAATCCCCATCTCCAGACTCCAACCCCACTATCCACGCAACCCTCCCCAAAGCTTTGCATCCTCCTCCACCTCCACACATTGCACAATCCACCCCATACTTTGCCTTTCCCCCTGTTCTTTACAAGACCTCAGCATAACCCCTGCTTGATACCTAAAGCTTCCTATGGCTTTAAGATTGCAATGGGGGCCACCTCCCTGCCCCCCTCCTCATCGCACTGCAGGGGAGCCCTGCGTCTCCCTCATCCCCCCCCAATACATTGCTGGGGGGCCCTGTACCTCCCCAGTCCTCCCCCCCTCACACTGCAGGTGCAGCCTGCTGTTCTGCCGTGATAACGGGGCCCATCCTTGCAGCACCCCATCACCATGTTCGGCTCATCCCGAGGAGGGGTCCGGGGGGGCCAGGACCAGTTCAGCTGGGAAGATGTCAAGACAGACAAACAGCGCGAGAACTACCTGGGTAAGGCCTTCATCCCCCGGCCCTGTGTGCGGGGTGAAGATAAGGGGCTGGGGACAACATGGGGCCTTGTGTCCCTGCAGGAAACTCCCTGATGGCACCGGTGGGACGCTGGCAGAAGGGCAAGGACCTGACGTGGTACACCAAGGGCAAGCAGGAGCCCGCCCCGCTGTCCCGCGAGGAGGAGCTGGCAGCCGTGCGCCTGGCTGAGCAGGAGGCCATGATGGCAGCGCTGTGAGCACCCCCCTACAAATCCCCTGTGACACTCCCCCAAAAATAGACACTCTGAACATCCCCCCCCCCAAAAAAAAACCATCCAAAGGACCACGCAGTCGTTGGTCACCTTCACTGAGAGTGAAGATACTGGGGAGAGATCCAGATCTTTCGTTAGGGAAAGGCTCTGCCCCATTGGACAGTAGGCATGGAATGGAGGTCCTGGAGCAGTTGGCTCTCAGATGCAGGGATGGGATGTGGGTGGTGCTGTGCAGAGCTGGGGGTTGGACTTGAGGATCCTTGTGGGTCTGTTCTTACTGGGATGTGCTGTGACTCCATGGTTCTGTGACTCTAGGGGCTACAAGAACGTGAAGAGGCAGCCCACAGGCCTCAGCAAGGAGGTGAGGGCGTCCCTGCTGTCCCTGTAGGTCAGGGCATCCCCCATGCTCTGTGTTTTTATGGGGTCTCAACGCTTTGCCCGCAGGACCTGGCTGAGGTGTGCAAGCGGGACAGCGCAGAGCGAGCCGAGGACGTGGATCGGGTGGTGGGCTTGGGCAGCTCCAGGTGGGCACCGAAACACTGCCTTTCAGAGCGACTTTTTAAAGACAAAATGCCATTCTTATGTTGGTCTTTTAATTTTGTGGCCCATGGATGTGGTTTTCGCCTGCAGCGGCAGCGCCGGGCGGGTGATGCTCTCCAAGGAAGACAAGGAGGCAGCCAAGATGGGGCTCTCTGTCTTCACGGTACGTTGGGTTGATGTGAGATCATCAAAAACCCACGGGCGTTTAGGTCGGAAGCGACGTTTGTTCCCAAAGTTCTCTTTGAAAGGCAGAAAGAGCTTTTATCCTGTGTGTGTCACTCAAAGCACTGGGCAGGCCCACGCACTCGCTCTGTGCTTTTCTCTTCCCCGTGCTCCAGCACCAGAAGGTGTGCAGCAGTCCTGAGGCGTCGGGCTCCAAGAGGAAGCAGGACAAGGAGGAGAAGGCAGAGGAGAAGCGGTGAGGACCAGGATGCATCCCGCACTGCACTGCCCTGGTTGGTGGGTCAGAACCAGCCACGAATGGCCGTGCTTTTCCTGGCAATATTGTGCTGAACCGAACGTTTTGCATCGCAGCTTGGTTTAGGCTTGTCCTGCTTCAGTCTGAATCCCCCTAAACCTCTGAGTCACCCTCAAAACTCCTTGTTTTTAATTGCTTCTCCTTTATTAAATAGACCTGGTGAGGGCCCAGCAGGGGTGGGTGTTTGGCACAGAAAGGGTTGGAGGGGTTTGCAGTGCAGGAACCCATCAGTGCTGCCCTGTTCTGCTCCACAGGATGGAGAGCAGCAAGAAATCCAAAAAGGAGAAGAAGAAAAAGAAAAAGAAGAAACACAAGAAGGAGAAGAAGAAAGACAAACACCACAAGCGGGACACCACCCCATCATCCTCCGCCTCCTCTCCCGACCGGGACGAGAGGTAGTGGGGTCAGAGGGGGAGGCACACGGCAGGGCTGTTCCCACGAGGTGACACCGTTCTGTCCCTGCAGACGCCACCGGAGCAAAGCCCAGGATCGCCCTGCATCCCACGGCGGCCGTCCCGAGGCATCGCGGCACCGGCACCGCCGTGACACGGACTCCTCTCACAGCAGCGGGGCCTCGGGCAGGAGCCCGTCCTCCCGCCGCCGGAGGGCGCGGAGCCGCAGCAGGAGCGGCCAGCGGCACCCGTCCCCGAGGCACAAGGGCAGGAGGAGGAGCAGGAGCCGATCTCCTCGATCCCACAGGGCCAGACAGCGTCACGATACGGATTCGGGTGACTGAGGGGTTTTCCTGGAGGGGATGTTCCATAGGTTAGATATTTTTTAAGGTTGTTATCTAAATTAAAGTCACAGCTTTACAACTGCCGGGGCTGCTGGCCTCGGTGCAGACTGGTTATTGCCTGCGTGTTACGATGTGGACGCTGTGTAACACAGCTCTGTGGGATCTATGGCTGTCACCTTCACTTCCCCTAAGTTAAACCTGGGGCAGCATCAGAAGCTCACCCTGCTGTTTGCTTCACCTGTGGTATACGGAAAATCGGAATAACACCATTACAGAATGGGAGCAAAATACAGCAGGTGCTCAGGTGCTCATTCCATGGATCTGTCCTGTCCAGACTGACCTCTGTGGGGTCCAGCTTACAGCTCTGAGGCCCAGACGTCTTTAATTTGGGGACACCTGGGTGTGAGCCACCAGCCCAGGCAGGAAGAAGCAGAGATGCCACAGCAGGGAGCTCTCACGGGGATGGCAGGGCGACAGGCGTCCCTTTTGGCTGAGAAGTGGCCTCTGGCTAAAAAGGAAAGTGCTGAAACAAGTCCTTGGCAGACGGATGGGGCTGCAGCGCCTCCTGCACGTGTATGCAGAGTGCTGTTCCCATCTGAAACCTCACGACAGAAATACGGGTGTTTGTGTGCTCAGCGCAGGGTGCGGGTTTTAAATCCGTAATGAGTGATAGCGGTCCACGTGGAACGAGGGACGTCCCGAGCAGCTCCTGCTCGCGGGGCCAACAGCACGGAGCACAAGGGCCGCCTTTGTGTGAGTGGTGATGCCATTCCTCCCACTCGAGACAGGGCTGGTCTGTGTGTCTTGGCAGACAAACCCCTCGTGCCGGGGGCCGGTGTCAGTTTGCACTTGGGAGGTTTTCAGGCTCTTCTGTTATCCGAGGGGCTGTGCCACCGCACTGCCTGCAGCCCACGTGGAACAAGGGCTGCATTCATTGCAGCGGGAGGAGCTGGAATAAAGCCCTTCTGTCCGGCTCCCCTCCCGGCTGTGGGCATGTGCTTAACCCAGTTGGTGCGGGCAGCAGATGTTGCACGGGTTCTTTTTTTTTTTCCCTTGAGATGGTTTTTTTTGGGTGGGGTTGATGCTCTGTTAGCAGGACCATGGCGTGAGTCCTCTTCATGTGAGCGGTTGCAGCCCCGTGTCCACATGCGATCCGGTCGAGTCCAGGCCTTCTCCCTGAGCTCGCTGCCTTCAGGGTCACCTACTGCTGCTTTTTGGGGTCTGGGCAATGGCTGGTGCTCACTGGGAGCATCCCAGCACAGGGCAGTGGTGGGAAAAGTGGAGCACAGCTGTGCTGCCTGGGAAAAGTTAATGCAGCTCCAGGCTGTAAAGGGAACTAAAAGTCTGCACCAATCCCAGGGCCCAGCTTGGGACACTGCTCCCCAGTGCTCTCATTCAGCTTCATTTCCAAGCAGGGCAGGATCCTCCCCAGGATCTGAGCGCTTTGAAGGTGAGGGTCAGAGAAGCCCCCTGAGGCGGCTCACGCCATCCCAGGCTGCGTCCCCTCCTGCAGTCCCTGCTTCTGCTCCCACCACTGCCATCAGCCCACCTCCAAGTGCTGTCTGAAGAAGGCACCTATGCCTACTTCACACCCAACTTCACATCCTAAGGAGCAAAAGGCTTTGAGAAAAGGCAAAAAGGGGTGTGAAGGATCTTCGCCCCATCCCCACCTCAGGGCTGCGCAGCCATCCAGCCGCCTCTGCTTTCCTGCCCAAGCTGCTACACAGGTTCCTGCAGACAGGGAAGGATGGATGGCTAAAATCCCTGCAGGCTTGGCCGAGCCCAGGCCAGAACAAAGCTGGTGCTGCCTCAAGCGGAGGGCTACTCCCACAGCTCACTGATCCCAGATAACATCCCTACGTTCCCCATCTCTTCCTCCTTCCAGCACGGGCTGTATGGCTGGGGCAGGCTGGACATCAAGAACCCTCCCACCAACACACCTCACACAGCAGTCAACCAGCAGGATCTCTGCTGTCGGTGGTTACAGAGCTGGTGTACAGCAGAGCACCGGGCGTCGGAGGAGAGAGGAGTCGGGGGCTCTGCGCAGTGACATCAGCAGGAGAGCTGGCCCTGCAGGTTCAGCTCCCTCCCAGAACAAGAATAAATAGATGCCCTGCTCAGCTAGGCACGCACACAGCCTGATTCACAGCTTGAAAGCCAAAGCGAAACAAACAGCTTGGAAAGAATAACCTGACTTACAAGGATTTTGCAATCCCTTGTCGCTGTTTGCTCAACACTGATTACTACCAAGACAGGCTGGTCAGAGCACAGGAGCCCTTGCTGGGAACCTTGAATAAACCCAATTGCTGCCTGCAGCAGCCTCAGCTGAACACAGCAGTCAGAAGCATCTCCCTGAGCCTCTCCCTGTAGCAGGGCAGCCAGCCCCACAAGGAAGCAGTGCTGGAACTCTGGGCCTGTCTGCACACACACACACACACAATGCATCCTTCAGATGAGGCAGCTGCTTGGAAACAAAACCCAGGGAGCGAGGGGAAGTGGAATCTGTGCAACAGATGAGGAGCTCGATGGAAGACCATCTCGATTCACTCTGAGAAAAGCAGTGCCAGCTCAGCAGCCCACGAGCTCAGCACCCACAGCTTCAGGAGGGCAGATTTCACCCCCAGGAGCGCATCGCTCACAAAGCTATGGTGAAAGATGTGGCTATGCAGGAAGCTGATGGACGCCTTAAGGGAGGACGGGGACTGAAGAGATGAACAGAAGGACAGAGTGCAAGTTTCATGAAACTTTTTATTCAACAAGTATTTCATTATGATTTTGCCAAGATGATCAAATGAACAGCAAGGCATAAAAAACATGAAATAGTTAAGAGATTTTATTCTAATAGCTTTAATTACAGTGCTTGTTTGTCGAAATGAAAACTGAAAACAAGTATACAAAACAGTTGATTACTAATCGTGTATTGAAAGCAATAAAGGTTTCCACAACACTAAACAAACCAGTTCTGATAGTTCCTCAAGTTAAAGTTGAACAGCTCCAGCTTCTTCAGTGTTTATCAAAATACAAAAGAAAAGTAAAGAGGTCTTTTTTCTGATGGCAAATCTGAACCTTGCAGTATGAGGGATGCCAAGGGTTTTCACACATATACAGATATGGGATTGTTCCAAAATGGGATTGAATACTTCTAGAGTGGAATGACTCTCCTAACTCTCATGCTTTTTTTATTCCCCTAGACACTATACATAGATGTTTGGTGTTTTTCATGGCAATTCTTACTTAAGTACAGTACTTTCTGACTATAGAGCTTAGGACCGGTACAGGCTGTGCTTTCTGTGGAAAAGTTTGCCTTCTGGAGTGGTTTACACACAAAAGTACAAAACACTTTTGACAAATACAACAGGCTAAAAATGTGACTTCCAGAAATGATTCAAGCTCAGTGGATGTGACCAGTCTCACCTGAACCAAAAGGCAGAGGTTTAGCTCGAGTCTGCCAACTCATCTAAACCAGGTCTGAGAAATCTTGGAGCAAGTATGAACAAACGTGAGCTACAGAAAGAGCCAGAGATCTGTAAGTTACGACCTGTGTTCTAACCCAACGGAGCCAACCTGGTGTCAACTGCTGCTTCAGTTTCCCAAGAATCAGGAATCACCACGTCAGAGCTAGAACTGCAGAAGCTATGGCAAACCTTTGTGTCTTGAAGTGTTTTTACTTTTCCTCGACTATTAAAAAAAAAACCAACAAAACAAAATACAGTATTCAGGTTAAAAACCAACCACCAAAATGGACCTCACAGATCTCACAACCCATCCGAGATAGTATTCAGCTCTACTGCACTAGGACTGCTGGCAACCCCTACGTTAAGCCACTCCATCCCTTCCAAGTACTAAACAGTGAGTTGATTCTTTACAATAAAAAAGCTGAGTAATATTGCATAGGAGTACCAGAAACTGCCTCATTGGAAACAAAAACTATTTACATTAAATAAGAAACCTAACTGTTTTCTGGCTTGTATTTGCCACATTTACAGCATGATGCAATATATACTGTGACAAAAGAAATGAAAACAGCTTCCGGCACTCAATACCACAAAGTAGCACAGTTTGCCACATTAGAGTAAAGCGAAGGGCGAATAGGAGGAAATAAGAGGGAGGGGTGGAAAAAGAGGGAAGAGGAAGGTTTATGGTTTCATTTCTGGTTTCGGAGCTGATTGGACAACCAGTCCAGTCCTTCATAGAGCCCGTCTCCACTAGTGGCGCAGGTGGCCTGGATGTACCAGTTCCTGTGACGAAGAGAATGCAGTCCCAGTTTGTCTGTGATTTCCGCTGCATTCATGGCGTTGGGCAGGTCCTGCAGAGAGCAAGAGACGCGTTTCTCTCCTGCCAGCTGAGCAGCAGCACCCACCCTTCCTGAACTATGAGTGCACTGGCTGTCAGCTGTAAACCCACTTCACAAAGTGAGGAATGCTCACAGTTACAGCTCACCTCCTGTTTCATTCACTTTCCACTCGGGAAATATTCTCTGCAACTGCAGCCTTGATTTAACCTCAGCTTCCACCACGCAGTACTGAGCACTGCTCCAAGCTGTACTCAGCTCGGCACTGCATCTGTTAATACTACACTTTCCTATTCCTACAAAGGACTCACAGCTTTTCCACCCTTCCCAAGTGAGCCTGCACAGCTGATGGAGCAGCAAGCTGTGCCTCCTTTAAGTTCACCCACAGAAGGCGCTTTCAGATAAGAGCACACACACAGACACCTTCCTTTGGCATACCTGTTTGTTAGCAAACACTAATAGAACAGCATCTCTAAGCTCATCTTCTGCCAGCATTCTCATCAGCTCTTCTCTGGCCTCGTTCACTCGTTCTCTGTCATTACTGTCAACTACAAAAATCAAACCTAGGAGAAAGCAGACAATAAGCATAAGCACGCAGCACGTGCTGCTTACACACGATACCTGGTTCTGGACATCAGAATTCAGCTGCAAAGAGAAACTACATGAAAAGATGAAGTTCATACTGTTGTAATCTCATGTCTGAGAGAAAGCCTGCTCCTGCCAAGAGCTGGTGAGAACAAGCAGTTTGATGTGCATGATTTGGGGCTCGCTCTCCAGCTACAGGACCA